GCACCCTACTCATGCAGCTCAGTGGGCTCCCACAGGTGGATGGGGGCAACCAGCAATGCTTTACTGAGGAGGCCAGAAGGAATAAAAATCGGTTCTGCGACAAAACTGGAAAACAATGTGACTCTCTGGGTGCCCGCAGAAAGAAATAGCACCCTCTTAACATTTCTGAGGCAGAACTGAAATAGACATTAGCAATTAGCACCTGCAACAGTGCCCTTTCAGCCATATAACAGGCAAGAAAAGCCCATGAAGGGAAAACAAGGAGAAGCCCTCAATATTTACCCCCCAACCCATCAAGGTAATCGGATCCATGGAGGTCTGCAAGGAGGCTTGAAGCCTGGGTCGTGGTACCCGTGGACTTTGGTGATTAAGATGTGTCTATGCAGGATCATCATTATGACAAGGGTCCCCTGGTTGGGGATGTTGATGGGGGGGGGCTCTGTGGGAGGGACACAGGGGAACATGAGAGTTTTCTGCACTTTTTCTTTTTAATGGGAGACTTTATTTCATTGCTTAAATCAAAATATTCCTTTAATAATTTCAAAGGCTTCATTTGAGGGATGGGGAAGCCCTACCAACCAGTACCGCACAAACCACATTTGATATGACTAAAGACATGCCAACATAATTTGTAAAACCAGAATATTATCATGACATGACATTAAAAATTTGGTGTGGCACATAGATCCCACTTCTTTAAAGCTGGAAAAGTGTCATTTTAATTATATTGTGCCAAACCTGGAAAATCTTGGCAATATCTACAGGCCTTGTCAATTTACAGACAGGAACAAGTCCAAAGGAGTTAAGTCACCATCCAAAGTCACTAAAAATGATACTGCATTTGCTATTTTTAAAGTAAGTTGTCAAATGGCTTTGATTAACATATTATTATATACCTTTGGTTTGTTCTGAATTTTCATATTAAGAAGTTGCTCCTTAACTGTATTAATTACAATTTAATCAGTTCTTTTTCTGATATAATGCTGTAATATTTTCTTTCTTTGAAAATTCACCTATTATACTATATTGGCCAGCCAAATATGAAAAGCACACAAAGATGAAATTCACAATTTTAAAAATTAAATATTCATGTCAAATCAAAATAATCACCAAGGGCCGGGGATTTAGCTCAGTGGTTCCACTGCCTGCCTCACAAGCGCAAGGTCCTGAGTTCGATCCCCAGTACCAAAAATAAATAAATAAATAAAAATAACCACCTATTAGTGCTAGACACATATTTATATTTCACCACAGTTAAAAGCATTTGCCAAAATATCTCTTCTGTCTGATAACTTCCATGATGCCCTTGATTCCCAATAGCATTCACAATACAACTGAAATTAGTTAAATTCATGAAGGTCACAATGGTTATTCTGTATTCAAGATTCTCTAGAACCTTGATTGCCTAAAATGAGGTAGACAAAATTTTAAAAGTTTTGTTCACTGGGACTAATTTTCTTCAGATGTTGACCATCTATTTTTAATAGCATTCCAAAATATTTAGCAAAAGATTGAAAATGTCTGAGTGTTTTGCCTAAAAAAGGAAAATATAATTTCAAAAGATAACTATGAAAGTTGTTTTACCTCATTTTGGTTTTAAAACAGATTAAAACCATCATGTTACAAAACTACCACGTATCTTGAAGTTGACAACCCAACAACCCTTGTTCTAGTTCAAGCTTGAGAGTGTGTGGACACAGAGGTGCCTGGTTAAGGCATTCAGGGGTCAGACCAGCTGCTGCTCCTTAACCTTTAACCCTCAATTTCAAATCTCCTCTAGTTCAGGCCTGACTGTGGGGTGTCTCCATAGAAGGCTTCCACTGGCATCTAGCACCCCATCTGTGGAGACAGAAGCTGGTGATACAGGCCCAATTGGGTAAAATAGGCTGCAGCAGACAAAGCTGGAAATGAGCAGGGCCTGCAGGGTTGGGCCCAGTCTTGGATAGGCTTAGAGTCTACCATGCAGTCCCTGGTATCAGTGAGGCCACAGGTACTTCAGGTGGTGGGGATGGAGAGTGGCAGACTGGGCTTTAGGCTCCATGGGTAAAGGCTCTGGAGTGGGTCAAGGAGAGGTTTCTGGGAAGGCTGGTAGGCAGAACCATGGGTGAAGAAGGCCCAAGAACTCACTGCAAGGAGCCTGACTTCGCCAAGCAGAGCCAAGTCCTGGAATAGCATCAGTTTTTCAGCCAGGATGCCCATGAATACACTATTGGTGGAGCTAAGAATAATAGCTCCAACTTGCACCAGGTGCCAGGCTATAAGACTACAAGTCACATTCCGGATGGCACTGGGTCCTCCACAGATACTGGTAGGTGCGATGTCCCTGAGGCTGCCTTCCTATACTGGGCTCCCAGTTGCACCTCCAGCAGCACCTGAGTCTCACGACCATGCAGAATGGCCAGGTGCCAAGGATTCAGCCGCCAAGCCAGCTCGTTTGCGTTGCCTGGGTGCCCTGCTCCATGTGACAGGAGCCAGCTGCAGTGCCACCTCTGGACCTGTGGTTGCTTGTGGCTGGGGTTCCCAGTTGGTGGCCAGCAGGCCTCGTTCCTGGGCCAGGACTGAAAGGCATGCAAGTATAGCTGGGGATTCCCAGGAGGACTGAGGGACTCAAAGGCTAGAATGAAGGACAAGCTGCCCAGTTCTCCAGGTGGCTTCATGGGCTTGGAGACTGCACCCAGGGTATCCTGTGGCTCTGGTTGCGGTCAGGTCCTCTGGTGGTTCCATCAGCCTCTGAGCTGAGGTCAGAGGTGGTGCTCACCAGGCAGAATTCTCCCTGTGAAGAGGACATGGTCTTCCACGGCAGGTCTGGTGCTCCAAGGAAGGGATGTATGGCATTGGCCCTTGGGGTGCTGAAGCTTCTCCACAACACCATGAACTTGACCCCAGAAACTCCCTTGCCACAGCCACTTGGCAGCTCCACAGCTTGAAGAGTTCCTTGTGGGCACCACTGTGGGTCATGGGGCCAGCAGCTGCTGGAAGCTGCTCTGCAGTTCACATTGCACACCTTCCTGCTGCACTGCACAGGGAGCTCAGCAAGGACCCTGGCCACCCCTCTATTGGACTCGGTTCCAGGATGCTGGGGCAGGTGGATGCTCATGGATACTTGGGACATTCAAGATCTATGGTTCCAGGACTGACATACGCCAAAGCCTTGCTTACATGGTGGTTTCCCTGAAACTGGGCCCCAGTCATACTCACCCTGCCAAGTGGGGTACCTTTCTGCCTTTATATTCTTTTTTTTCTTTTTTCTTTTTTCTTTTGACACAGGGTCTCACTATGTAGTTCAGGCTGGCCTTGAACTTACTATGCAGCCCAGGCTGGCCTCAAACTCATGGCAATCCTCCTGCCCATATTGCATTTCCTATGCTTGACTGTTTTAATGCTTAATTTTTATCTTCTTTCTTAATTGAACTTTTGTCCATATGATATCTCTCTTTGTTTCTGTAACCTTCTTTTGATTTATTTTATTTTATTTTATTTGGTACCAGGGATCGAATTCAAGTCCTTGCGCTTGCGCAGCAGGCAGCAAAACCACTGAGCTAAATCCCCGGCCCTCCTTCTTTTGATTTAAAATCTATTTTGTCTGACACTATAGCCATGCTCTTTTATTTTCACTACAGTTTACCTGGAGGATCTTTCAGTCATACTTTCCTGTTCCAGCTTTTTGTCTTTAGATCTAATTGGATCATTTTTTCTCATCCCTTTTCCCAAATCTCTGTCTTCTGAGTGGGAGGTGGGTGACCTACTGGCAGGGAAAGGAATTGCTGCTGAGAAAGGCCTCAACTCTGTCCTTTGGCTGTTATCTCCCACTCTCCTTGCAGCTCGTAGTCCCTGGTTTCTTGAATCATTCTTTCTGGAGGAAAGTGAGTTTCTTTCTGCTCTGTGTATATTTTATAGATATGTCCTTTGAGGATACTATGGGCATTACATTGAAAACCCTCTGATGTGAACTTGTGCCAGCTAAACTCAGTAACATACAAAATGCTGCTCCATGCAGCTCTAGCCTCCATTCCCTTTTGGGTACTGAATTTGTAAAGTTCCATTCCTGTAGGTCACATTGTGTGTTTCAAAAAATATAGTAATATTTGGAGTTTTTTGGGGGGGGTTATTTTTTGAAACATGAACTTCTTATATCGTGTAGCAAACTAACACTGACTTTCATAAATATCCATGTATTTAGCTTAATTATAGTTATTCCTTCAGAGAGCTTTGAGTTCCTGCCTAATGTCCTTCCATTTAACTTCAAGGATCTCCTTATGCCTGGTAGATCTAGTAGTAGAGAAGCAAAATGCTTAATGCTTGTATGTGAGAATGACTTAATTTCTCCCTCATTTTGTAGGGACAGTTTTGCTGGATAGAGAACAGAGAATTCTTAGTTGATGGGGCTTTTGTTTTGCTTTGCTTTTTCATTCAACATGACACATATCAACCCATTTCCTTCCAGCATCCAAGGTATATTTGCCTAATGATTATCTTCTGGGGAAACTATGGTAAAAGAGGTCTTTCTGTCAGCTGTATAGGTATTAATATGCCTCATTGTATTTTATAAAGAACATCTTCTACATTATTGTAATGTCAGTGAAGTTATATCATCACTTTGAGAACCATCAGTGATAATTTAAAGAAAAAGAAATTGGATATGTTGAGTGTAGACATCATGAGATCTTTTAAAACAGAAGACATTACAGATTCTCAAGCCAGATATAAAAGAGACTTTGAATATCTTACATGTTTCTAATTCTAAGAAACTAAATGTTAATCTCTATAAGCCACATTAACAAAAACTTTTGTATCCTTTATTATTATTATTATTATTATTATTATTAAAGCACAAAAGGCCCCAGCGGCCAAAAATGAGATACCCATGTGAGTTATGGCCAGCCATGACTGGGCCATTTTGTGCTGTGACCTCACAAGGGGCCACTGTGAAGTTACTTGAAAGGTGAGCTTTATAAAGCTATGATTGGGCAGTTTCATGCCATGTGAGGTCACTTCAAAGGCTAGCTATATAAGGCTATGGCTTGGGTGGGTTTTTCGGTCTTATTGAGGCCTCTTGTTTGTGATAATTTCTGTGATTCTTAGGTAACTTGTCTATTTGATAATTAGGTGGTAAAGTGATTGTAAAATCTGGTCATTCATGATGCCTACTTTTGGGACTGAGCATAGTGAACATCATCTCTAAGCCTCCTAGCCAGCTCCTCCCATATGGAGAAGCTCAAAGATCATTATCACATCCTACGGAAAATCAACAAGGGCAATTATGCTGATGTAATACTGGCCAAGCATTTGTCCACTGGAATGACAGTGGCCATCAAAGTATTGCCAAAGGGAGAGAATTCTGATCACATCATGTAGGAGGTCAGCATCATGAAATCATTGCAGCATCCGAATATCATCAAGTTACTGCAAGTTATTCAGACAGAGGAGGAAGTCTACATGGTGATGGAATATGCAAGTGGAGGAGAACTGATAAATCGCATCCACGAGACCAGTGGCCCGCAGGAGGAGGAGGCTAGAAGAATATTTTGGCAGATCATCTGTGCCATTCAATACCTCCATGGACAAGACATCATTCATGGGCATCTCAAATTAGATAACATCTTGTTAGATGAGGATGGCACAGTTAAAATCTGTGACTTTGGAGTGGGGACCAAGATCACTCCTGAGCAGAAGCTGAACAGGATCTGCAGCACGCTGCCAGACACTGCCCCTGAAGCACTATTGCACAAAAGAGAGCTATTTGCTGGGGACATTTGGAGGCTCGGTGCCATCCTCTCTGAGATCATGGTGGGGTTAACACCATTCAAGGAGATCCATCCCTTTTATCTGAAATAGCAGATCCTGCAGGGCAGGCACTACTGTCCCCATTCCTTCTCCACAGACCTGCAAAATTTAATTGTCACACTTCTCACCATTGACCCCTTGCAGTGCCCAACACTAGAGGAAATCATGTGGCACCCATGGCTCCACCAGGGTAAACCACCTTCTCATCCTCCTCCTGATCTGCTTCCAGAATGCCCAAAACCTGAGATCCTAAAGTTGATGTTCGCCTTAGGATACAACCCTGAAGAAATTTAAAAATCCCTATGGTTAAAAAAATATGATCACCAGATGGCCACCTATCTTATTATGGAACACCAAGCAAGATGGGGAACAGACATTTGCATCAGAGTGAAGCCAGCAAATGAGGGCAACACATCATCTCCAGATGCCATAGATCCTACCCCCTCAGCTCTCCTCCAGAACAGTGGTGCCAACAAACCTGCCTCCAGCAATGACTTCTTTCTCCCAGGGAATCAGCTTGACAGGAAACGAGAGCTCTGCAAGACCCCCAAACCAAGCACACCCTGCCAGCCTTACATTGAGTCAATGCCCTCCGCCTCCTGTAAGAAGAGGCCATGCTGGAAGAGGGTGAAGACGAGCATTACAGCATTTGTGCAGAAGCTGTGCAATTGCTGCCTGCCAGCCTGGAAAAAAGAACCGGGTGGTTCCAGTGTAAGTATTGGGCAGCAGAGACATGGACAAACCTAAGCAGGCAGGGTGGTCCAGCTGCCTGCACTGCATTTTATTTTATTTTGGAAAGTAAAAGGAGAAGAGGGAAGGAAGGGAGGGTTGTTGGGCAGAGGGAACTATATCAAATGGATACGATGGGTCAGCTGGAGATCTGTTGCAGAAGAGGGTAGCTGTGACCATAGGCAAGAATGATGTCATTATATATTTCAAAGTAAGAGTTCATTTCACGTGCCTCCTTGCATTTTCAGTGGACAAAAAGATACGGACTGATTGGACAGTAAAGTGAGATCTGCTAAGCATAGATTTAAATGACTTCAAGAAGAAGCAGGGCCAGACATTCAGGCCACAATGTCCCCGGCTTGCCTGACCCCTAGACTTCCAGGCCAGAAGGAGATATATGTAAGCTATAGCCAACTAGAGGGCAGCAGTGACAGTGAGTACCTCTGACTCTGTTGAAGAAAAGCAATTTCTCTTAGGCAAGGGCAAAAGATAAAGTCGGATATGGTATGATAAACAACAAGACAACCCAGCTAGACTAAAGTCCAGAATTTAGAGGGTGGGAGAGGAGAGTCCGATCCATGCCTGGATCTTGGTACCTGAACCTCCACCCCAGACCTAGCACCCACCACATCTTGGGCAATGGCCAGGGCAAGGGAGGAGCAAGTTGATCCCTCAGATGCAGTCTGGCAAATTTAATAAAGCCAGAGTGAAGCTGTCATCCCCACTGTATTTGGCATACTTAGACAGTTCCGACCCAGGGACTCAAAGAATCCAAAAGTAGAACTGAGTAAAATTTAAATGTCAAGCACCACTGCACCTGTCTCCAGAGCCTGCAGGGGACAAGACACTGGGGAGAGAAAAGGTTTCCCCAAGATATACAATTTTAATAATGATAATAATAATAATAATAACAACACATGTCTCCCACATGCAATGGGAATGCAAAACATTCAGCACCCTGGCCCTGCCCATGATTGTCAATGGGGTCCCATGAGTGGGTGGGACATCCAACAATGTCCAGCTGAGAAGAGAAGGAAGTGAAAACCCAGTTCTGCCACAAAATCAGAAAACAATGCTGTGACTCCCAGGGGAGGCCCCCAGGAGCTACGACAGAGAAAGAGCACCTCTTGTGTTTCTGTGGGCAGACTGGAAACAGACTGCAGTGATTAGTATCTGCTAAAGAGCCTTTGACCACATTACAGGCAAGAAAAACCTGTGAAGGGAATATTGGAAAGGTCTACAATTAATTAAATTAAATGTGCCCTTTATCTTAAACTAAGTTTCTTAATCTTTGCAGCATAAAGATTCATAGCCAATATATCATCTATAATTCCCTCACCATAAGTTAGTGGAGTAAGTATAACTGTACCTATTTTATAGCTGAAGATAGCAACTCTCAGAGAATATTATTGCAGGTGAAAAGTGATTTTTTTTTTTTTTTTGGTACTGGGGATTGAACTCAGGACCTTGTGAAAGGTGAATTTTAAGTTGTCTACAGCCCATATTATCAAGCTCTATGCCAGCATTTCACACAGTGTGTGGTCCAGGACCCCCCGAGGAGAATCACCATGATTCTTTGAAGGAATCCAAAAAGACAAAACTATTTTCAATGTAATACCAAAACAATATTTGCCTTTCCTACTCAGAATCTCTTATGGAGTACAATGGAGTTTTCTAGAGGCTTCACTAATTGTGATGATGTCGATTCTCTGATAGTTAAGGAAGGTAGGCTTTTTAAAGTTCTCAATATTGGAGTGCTAAGGGGTCCTGAGACCACAAGTTTGAGAACTGCTGTTCACAGCTACACTATGTGATATAAAACCCTCTCAGTACTAGCAATGAAACCATTATCTACCATGAATAACATATAAATATTTTGCATAAGTCATATATCATCTCACTACCATCTCATGAAAAGTGGAATGAGTGTTCCATTCGATTTTACTGAGAACTCAGCATTTTCCTCCGGGTTTAATTTTATAGTCTTACCATGGAATTGGAGAATTTTTGAATTTTAGAAAACAGGAGACTCTGAACTTCTCAGGCTCTAAATTTTTAACTACTTTCATGGCTGAAATGAAAATTCCCCAAGATCAGTTCTTCAGAACAAAGATGTAACTGAATGTCGGATACATCTGACATCTGTTAGATGACATCTGTTAGATAAAGAAGGTACCCACCTCCCAGCGCCTCATGCACTCAGGGCAGGGCTTACAGAAGGTGCTTGGGTCAAGAGGGCATTGTACTCATTAGTGAGTCAATCCACTGAGGAATCCATAGCTGACTTGCTGTTAGGAGGTGGGGCCTGGTTTGAAGAGGAGCCAAGGATATGGCCTGGAGGGGTCTGTGTCCCTCCCAGATGGCTCCTCCCTTCAATCTCTGCCTCTGGACCTCTGTGAGGGGAGTATTTCTCTCTGCCAGACACATCCATCATGACTCCCTGCCTTGGAGTCAGCTGATCATGGGCTGAAACCCTGAGCTAAAATAAGCCTCTCCTCCCGTAAGCTGCGGGTGTGGGGTATTGTGTCTCCGTGATGAGAAAGTAGCTAACACCAAGTGAGCACATTAAGCCTGCTTATAGGCAGTAAAAGGGGCATTTTCTGTAGAGAATCTGCCTCCTTTTTATTACTGCCATGGTTTAACAATTCTAAACAATGTCAATGATAAAATACTCCTCTGATCACTATGTTGAAATGAAAAATACTTGGACCTGCATTGCTACCCTAGAGTCTGAACTGGTATCAGAAGTCCTGGATTCCATCCCAGCAGGAGGGCCCTGAAACCCCTTTCTGTGTTATTCCCAGAAACTTCAGGACACCCTATGTGTGCACAGCAGGTTGTCTTTCTTTCCCTCTGTACTAGGCTCCAGGACACTCCTGGTGCTCATTTTAACCAAACATCCCATGGGAACTCAGACCACAGACACTCAGCATCGAAATCAATGTCAGGTCCTCAGACACAAACTGCAGAGTCCCTGAGTGGACTGTCTTTCCCCGTTCTCCAGTTTTATCTTATCTCAGAGCTTCTTCTCCCCAGCTCAATAGGCAGCGGGCAGGCGGGCTCCTCTGGAGGCCTCCATGGGTAGTGCTCTCCCACCGCCAGCCTCTGCCTGTGGTTTGGCCTGGATCACTCTTCCCCCAGTCTCCACCTGCCCAGCTGATTCTCAACCTCCAGGCTTCTATTTAAATATCACTTCCTCAGAGCCCCCTAAAATGGAATTCCTGTGCTCTTTCATCGTATCCTTCACTTTTATGTCACTTATCAATCACCATTTGTACATTTGCTTGGTTTTTGTCTCTTTGCCACTAGATTGTAAATTCCTAAAGTTCATCATTTTCTTATATTTTTGTACCAGGGATCGAACTCAGGACCTTGCGCTTGTGGGGCAGGCAGCAGCACCACTGAGCTAAATCCTGGGCCCATGTGTTCATTTCATTTATCATCCTTCCAGCAACACTAGCACTTTCCTTGGCACATGGTAGATATTGATACATATTTTATGAGTAAGTGAATGAGTGAATGAACATTCTTTTCTCCAAAGAGAGCAAAACTCAGACCTTATGAGGAAAAGGCCATCTATCTTTTCAATATATAGGCTACTGATCTCTTAAAAATCACAGAAACTAGGAATTTGGCCCAATTCAATCAGAGAACAGTTGAATGAAAAGAAATCAGCTGAAAGGCACAGTGGGGCATCCCTATCATTCTAGCACTTTAGAAAGCTGATGCAGGAGGATTACAAGTTCTAGTCTAACCTAGGCAAATTAGCAAGACTCTGTCTCAAAATAAATAAAACGCTGGGGATGTAGCTCAGTGCAAAGGCCCTGAATTCAATTCTTCATAACACACACACACACACACACACACACACACACACACACACAGTATCAGCCTGATGCCTGCCTCCTATGGTAATATAGAGATGAGTTCATAATGTATGAAGTATGACCAAAAAATACAATGAATGTTTAAATGTAAAGTTTTATTACAGTAAAAGACGCATATGAATCGCCCTCAAAATACTCCCTCTCACTTAGAACACAATTATCCCATAGTTCTTGCCACTTTATGAACCAGTTTATGGCAATTTCTGTCAAATAAAAACATTATAGTGTGTCCTTATCTACCTTATTCATCAGATCTGGTATGGTGCAACTTCTGGATCTTCCCGAAAGTCAAAATTCCCATGAGGGGGCTGGGAATGTAGCTGAGTGGCGCTACGCCTGCCTTGAAAGCACAAGATCCTGAGTTCGATCCCCAGTACCCCCCCAAAAAAATGCCCATGAAAGGTAAAGGTTTTGAGTCAATTCAGGATGTTAAAGCAGTCATGACAGCACAAGTAAAAAGACTCATGAAAGAGGACTTCTAGAGCTGCTTCAGAAAGTGGCAAGAACTATGGAATAATTGTGTCCTAAGTAAGAGGGAGTATTTTGAGGGGGATTAATGGCAATATATCTCTGCAATAATTTTTTTAAGTTTAAACATTCACTGTATATTTTGATCACACCTCACAGATTCTATTTATAAGAAGTTCAGATACAGAAAAAAACAATAGTTGGTGAAAGTGATACA